CGTTATCTACCCTTTCGGTGTAATTGACTTTAATACAAGCAATGTAACCTTCGGCGTAACCAACTTCGGCTTTAAAATTGTCATCTGTCATTAACAAGCTCTTAAGTCTATGAAATGTTTTTGTGTCGGGCTTCTCGTCTCTAAAAATACGCTTACCTACTAGTTGCTCAACCCACGGCGTTGTATGCACATTAGCAGTTAAATGATTAACATATACTGGGACATATTCCCTGCCCTTACTGTCTCTAAAAGACGTTGATAATACACCTTTGTCTGCTTCTGTCTTAAGCCTATATAAATGAACATTGATTGAATATTTTCTTGGTTTTCTTGGGTTGGTTCTTCCCGTTCTTTTGTTGTCTTCTTTTGCATGTGCCATTCTCTGACCTAGTTGTTCTTTATCCTTGTGTTTGTCATAGATCTTGTCGTATTCTTTTTCTGCTTTTGTTTTTTCTTTGTCTGTTTTTGCTGTGGTGAGTTTCCTAATTAAATTGTCTGCTGTGGTGAACTGGGCGATCTTACGTTCTGAGTATAGATTAATTATATTTTGAACTTTTGTTCTAGTGGCTTGGGGAATGCGGTTTCGCTTGTTGTTATAAANNTACGCTTAATGGCTTTGGACATATATCAATATAATTAAACTATATATATTTTTTTTCTTTAAATGTTTTTGTCTTAGGATGCTGTTTTAATTCCTAAGTAATTAATTACACTAATGAAAGGCATCTAAAGAAAAAAATTATATATAATATATTATAGTATGAATAAAAATCCCGAGGATATGTCAATGGAGGAGATATTAGAACAACTCGCAATATACAATAGGCTGTATTACAAAAAACGACGAGAAGATGAAGCTTATATGCAAAAGAAGCGAGACGCATCTCAAAGGTATTTGCAAAAAAAGAAGATCCGTGAATATGAAGAAAAGCACGACATCAAATTAAACCAAGATGAAATATCCGATGAACTGCTTACAGAAATCATGACGTCTAGAAAGACAATGAAGCCAAGACGTGCCACCCAAAAGTATGATATGAGCAAATTTAAGATCATAACCCCTAACTCCGAATGATGATTTAATTTAATTATTAAATCATTATTTTCTTTTGTTTTTATATGAGTGAGAAAAACAAATTATTAATGATGTATATTTTGATCGCGCCGGTTTTGGTAGTAAGAACCGCACATTGCAAGAAGCACGGGAGAAAGATAAAACCATCACAATGTCTGATATCAATGAGTTTTTTAGGAAGAATGTTGATCAAAAACGTAAGCCCATGGGTTCTAATAGCTTTGTCGCCCCGCATTCTGCATACGAGTATCAGATGGATTTATTTTTTATTAATGATTTGGACAACCAAAAATTTAAGGTAGGTATGATAATGATTGACATCTTTGATAAGTTTATGCACGTGGTGGCAATACAAGGCAAGAAAGAAGAAGATTTAGCCAGTGGGATGATTGAGTGCTTACATAAAATGGGAAAGAAGCCAAAAATAATTTATACCGACGACGAGGGAGCAATGAACAAGGAGGCAATACAAAAGTATTTACAGGAACAGAACATAGAACACCACAGGACTAGGGCGCATCCAAATTTTAGCGAAAGGGCCATTAGGACATTCAAAGATTTATTATATCGCCGTGTTGAGGCTGATCAGAAAAAGGGTAAAAACAATATTCAGTGGACGGATTATATTTTTGAAATATTATT